TAACTACCTGCTGTTAGGTTTTACTTGACTCCTTATCACCTTAAGCATCTTCTTGCCTTTGCTGAAAACTCTAAATTCCCATCCTCATTCTCAATCCCTGTCTCCTACTGATGGTAAACTCACTCTAGTCTCAGAATCCAGAAAAATATTTATTTCCTTTAGTCCTAAAATATTGAAGAAGCTCTAGGTCAATCCTCAAGTACATCCAAAGCCAAGTCACTCTTGATCAATCCAATGACTTTCAAGTGGAGTAGTACTATTCTCATAAGGGGCATAGAAACGATGTGGTTATTTGATTTTTACTTATCACAATGACTAGAGTGGTACTACAGGCATTCATTGGGCTAAAGCCCTGCTATGCATTCACAGTCCTGCATAGTGAAGAACTGACCAATCCAGAATTCTAGCAATGCCTTTATTTATTTATTTATTTATTTTGCTATAGGGCACATGCACTTGCCAGAAAGACGAAGAGAGACAGAGTGATAGAAAGCGAGAAATCACCCCCCCAGGGGGGATGGTCATGCTACCATCCTTTCTCCTCCATTCTCCTCTTAAGATCTTGGGCATGCACGCACAAGCGCCTGGCGTGTGTTTAAGCCACCAGGTCCAGAACTCAGACCACAGTCGACTACATGGGAGTCCAGCGACATAGCCATTACGCCAACAACTGGCCCCATAATGCCCCTATTAAGAAACATTTCACCCATAGATGGCAAATACCTATCACATCCAACCCTTGTGCTTTTCTTCATGCCCACTCGAGATACTGGTAATCAAAGATAGTCCACTCCACTGAGCTGGATGTGTCCTCAAAATCTTTCTCAGCACAGCAACCAGGACATGATTTGCTATTTGATGTGGCATGGAAGGCAAAGCCTATATGCCATTCCTACTTTATATTTTTTCTTTTAATTTTATGGTAGCTTCATAATTCTTAAGATGTACTGTTTTCATTTCCTATGCCTATAGACATGCTTTAGTTATTTGACTGCTCTTTCATTCCTTCTAAAACAGAAGCCCTTTCAGAGATGTGAGCTCTGTGGTTGAGACTCTGCACTATCCCATCTCTGACAGAAAATGCCTGCCAGCATTAGCTCTTCAAATATCGCTTGTTCTTAGTTCTCCCTCTAGTGGAGAAACTATATATAGTATATTGAACTTTGGAAGAATAACATTCTTGGACTACAATCTCCAATACTGGACACACTTACCCAGATTTTACAGAAAACTCAACTCAAAGTTAATGAAGAAAGAAAATGGTAAGAGGGGGAGGCAAGAAATTATATGACTGCCATATCTGTACAGTCCAGAGGATTCTTTGAATTCAGACATAGCTAGATCCAAAGTTCCCAAAAATGTTGCCAAAAATTCCTCTCTCCATCTTTTGGAACCATCCATGCTTCCATCATTGTCATATGGATTCTCAGACAAGCTTTCCCCACTCTACCTACAACTCCGGAGGGAGACTCAGGTAGCTCTAGTTATAATTTAATTAAAAGTTATCATTATTTAATTTAATTAATTAATTAATTTATTATTATTATTATTATTTAAATTTGCTATAGGGCACATGCACTTACCAGAAAGAGACAGAGAGAGAGAAATAAAGTGAGAAAGCAAGCCACCAGGTTCAGGACTAGAACTGTGGTCAACCATGTGGGGGCCCAACACCTTAACCACCACATCACCTGCTGGTCCCAACATCAGATTTTTTTTTTTTTTTGAGAGGTTTTTGCTATAGGGCACATGCGCTCACCAGACAGACAGAGAGAGACAGAGAGACAGAAAGCAAGAAATCATCCCCCCGGGGGGATGACCATGCTGCAATCCCTTCTCCTCCGTTCTTGTCTCGGGATCTTGGGCACGCACACACACGCGCCCGGCGTGAGTTTAAGCCACTGGGTCCGAGACTCGAACCGCGGTCAACTGCATGGGAGTCCAGCGACATAGCCATTACATTAACTGCTGGTCCCAACAACAGATGTTTTGACATTATATTTTCTGTAGGTTATCTTTCCCTCCTCTGAATCTGATTGTCCTCAGGCCTGCCTCATGAGCAATCCTATGCTATTTTGCTACCCTTTCTCCAGTTAACTATATATTTTGCTTATTTTTATCTTAATAAACTACAATACTACCAGAAGCTGCAACACTTTTTATCTTGGTAAAAAGCATAAAAATGTCACCTAGAGATTTTTAACTTAATGGAGGACACTCTTTTATATCCACACAAAATGACTTGCCATCCCACTCTACAAATCATGGGAAGTTTAGAGTCCTCCCATTTTCAGAGGAGCCCAGGACATTTGTCTTCATGGTAATTACTTGCTGTGTGTATCTAATTTTGCAGAGTTTTCCTCCAGCCCCTCATTTTACCTTCTGATACCACTGCCTTACTCCCCACCACTTTGGTAAACATTAGACTCCCCTTATCTTCCTTCACTCCTGAAGCACTGGCAAGGTAACTTAGGGTAACAAATGTTTTCTGAAGGTTTAGAGTAATGAAGGAGGATACTATCATGAGAAATATGAGAATTCTTTCAGTTAAGAGTGATGAATATCCATATGGAACTTAGGTCAAATAAAAAATGTGTGGGTCCATGCATTAGGAAGATTCAGGCACAGCCATGTCCTGGAGTCACGCGTGAATAGGAGTCTCACTTTCCATCTCTGCCTTCTGTTTATCTCTGAATTTTGATATGTCCTTGTTTCATTGTCTTCCATTCAAACTCCATTTTTCTCATCCTTCCACCCTAGTCACATGTCCTTACAGCTCAAGGTCCAAAAGGAAAATGGCTGGTGGTAGGAAGAAGAGAATCTTGTGGCCCAGTCAAATGTCTTCTCAACTACTGTGCAACTGTAGTCCCCAGATAAGGGAAATATTAATAGAATGTTTAAGTGATTAAGTGTCTTAAAGTATCTATGCCAAAGGTTCAAATTCAAGCGTAAGAATAAGGATTAAGAGACCAGCAGATGGTGTAATGGTTATATTGCTGGACTCTGGCATGGCCAACTACAATTCAAGTCTGAGACCTGGTGACCTGAAACTTACACTGGGCATGTATGTAAGCATGCCCAAAATCCCAAGAAAATGGAAGGGAAAGGACTGTGGCACGGCCATCCACTGGGGGGGAGGGGTGATTTCTCACTTTCTGTCTCTGTCTCTCTGGCGAGCACAAGCACCATATAGCAAAAATATCTCTCTCTCTCTCTCTCAAAAAAAAAAGGATTAAATCACACCTACACATGTTATTATTTTGTGTTTTTCTACAGTTTACTAGCTATGTGAACTTTGGCGAAATATTTAAACTCTCTGAACCTGAGCTGCATCATCTGCCAAATGGAACT